AACCGAAGGCCTTTAATGGCTAGTCAGACTTTCACAGACTTTACTACTTTGACTCACATTATAGCCTAAATTAGCCTGAACTTGCTATTGAACTAGACTTGCCCCAAATTCACGGCAATCCATGACAGAGATATGATACTGAAGGCTGACAACTATGAATCAGAGAAACCATGTAAGATGCTAAAGCAGTGAACTAAATGAGGTAACGTAATATGATCCCAGGTATGTTTTCAAGATAATTGTTAATAAAGGATTTTTTTTAGTGGGTTGAAAGGGTATTTCTTTTATCCTGAATAATAGGGTAAATTAAGCTGCCATCTATTACAATGGAGGACAGTAATAGAAGAAAGGCTTGGTCATCAGTGGTCAGGCAGGATGGGCTGGGGAGGATGAACTAAGGGAGGTTAAGAACTTAATTTTTTTGTCATAATTTTGAGATTCCACTAACAAATACTTCCAAGTGGAAGTATCAGATAGACTGGTCTGGACTTTAGAAACATGGTCTGTCCTGAAAGGCATCAATTTTTAAGTATGTGATTGAAGAAAATCATTATGGCAATAGTCTAAAGAGGAGAGAGTGCATGAAGAGATGGAAGGAATTGAACCTCGTGTAACCAGTTGGGTAGACTGGAAAGTCTAGTAAACTCAGTTTTCAAAATGTCTTTAGAGCATCATAGCATCCCTAGATCAAAACACAACTGTGAAAGGTGACCTTGGTTGTCTGGCCTGTTACCATACAAGTAATCTGATCTTGGAACTCTGTGCTTGCTTTCTGTCCATGTAGTGTTGGCTTTATGCCATTGAATGAGATACTTCTGAGAATAAATATTAATGTCACTTTAAAAGCATGATGCATTTGTGTAGAATCTATGTGAAATATGAGAATCAGAATGGGAAAAGATATTGAATATTTTGCTAAGCCACACACACACACAAAACAGTTTTATGAGATTTGATTGTTTTATGTTCTTTTGAATGTTGTCAGAGGTAGCAACTTATTTCCCCTTTGAGTATGGATTTAATTTTTTACATTACCCAGAGTCATTTGTATGTTAGGTAGAGTGAAATTGGCAAATCAGTACTACATTCTGGCTGGTAATCTGGTGTTATGTCCCCAAAGCCTAATATTTTAATATACACATTGACAGGACAATTCTGTCCATAGTAATTTATTCCACGTAAATAAGTTTGCAAATGTTTCTTTATGGTATTGTTCACTGTAAAGAAATTGGGAGCAGTCTGAACAGTAGGATCTTAGGAAAAAGGACTTTTGTTATCCAATTAGCATAGTGTTTTGACATCATTAATGTTACTGTTGTGGAAAATACCAAATGATATGATATTGGAAAAAATGTGAAAGGGACACACAGAACAGGATGTGGGCTGAGGGTGATGGTACACACCTGTGATTTTAGCACTTGGGAAGCTGAGGATCATGTCTTTCGTGGAACTGTATGGTGAGACCTTATTTCAAAGAAACTCCCTAACATCAGAATGTCAAAGATTGTATGTTCACATACCCGTGAATAGACTTATAAACAACATACAGATGTGTTTCAGATATTAGAATTTCTTTTATAGAGAAATTGGGAAATACTTTTTCTAATTTTTTTTGTACATATTCTACAAGGACCTCATCATTTTTTTGAAGTGGGAAAGAAGGAGGGGAGGAAGGAAAGAAAGAAAGGAAGAAAATAAAGAAGGAAGGAAGAGAAAAAGCAGGAAAAGCATGGAGGGAGGGAGGAAGGGAGGGAGAGAGGGAGGAAGGAAGGAAACTGCTTCCTACGATCAACCTTTACCAGGCTATCCCAAATTTCTGTTGTCAACATTACTTGTACAAAATTTAACTGATGAGTTTTATCCAGTATTGAGGCTTGGGCAACATCAATCCAAGGTATTTCCAATCAAAATAGTCTCTGTGTAGCAGTTTGTTTCTTAGAATTAAATATCCATCTCAGACCTTCTTGGCAGTAGATAATCAAATTATTTGAATAGTCTTCGCAGCCAAGAGGCCTCCTGAAACATGAAATAACAATAATAATTTATCCAGACATTATGTTGAGTACCTTAAGGGTTAATCATTTTTAATTTTGATAAGGAAAACTGATGTGAAGTTAGTGGTATTATTCTGCCTCTCTTTCGCAGATGAAGCAATTGAAGCTAATAAAGGCTGTGTATTTATATTGCGAATAATGATGTTGAAATTCCCACCCATAACATCTGCTTGTAGCAAATGTGATTGTAACTGTTATCCTATGTTTTCTGAATTTGATTTCTGTCATCTGTTTGCTTTTGACATTATTGTGTGCAATTGAATTGGACTTATCCCTGATAGCTGTCCTTTTCTTCCATGGTGTGTACTTCTCCAGCAAAGTAAAGCTAGCAGAATCTGACCTGGAAGGTGAAGAATTCCCAGCCAGAAGAAGCAGCATCTTTGGTTCAACTGCTAGCTAATACTGTAGCCCCTGACATATGGAAATTCTAAGAATTAATCCCTGCTGCATCATCACATAATTTCCTTTCCTTGCTTCAGCTTCTACTGAACACTTGGAAATAGTTTCACTTCCTGGAGCTCATTATCTTGAGAACCATGCCTTGGCCAGTCCATCTCTGCCATCTAGCATCATCAGAAAACTGACCATTAGCCTTGAGAGTCGTTTGATATTGAAATCAACCCTAATTCTACATAGCAGCAAGCTTTGTTGGATATAACATGGCTTGGGGCTACATAAAGATATGGATTATGTCTGTTTTGCTCATAAGAAGTTCTTACCACCAAGAAAAATATGAAGAACTGAATAATTCTTAATGAACAATTCAATGACACATGACTGTTACCTCCCATGAGAAACTCAGTTGTCTGTTCTAGTTAAGCTATTAGGCCCATTGTAGTGCCTCTAGAGATTATAGAGGCACCCTAATACAACCAAAGCATTCTGTGCTCCCCTTAATGACTTTTTTAATTCATTTTATATACACCATAATTCCCCCTGCCTCTCATCATCTCCCCCCCCCCACACACACTGTGTTCCTCCTACCCCTTTCTCATTCACTCATCAGAAAGGGTAAGGCCTCTCATTGGGAGTCAACAAACATCAAGTTGAGGCAGGACCAAGCCCCCCCCCACTCCCCAGCTGCCGCCACCATCAAAACTGAGCAAGGTATCCCACCATATGGAATGGGCTTCAAATAGCTATCTCGTGCACTAGGGATGGATCCTGGTCCCACTGCCAAGAGTCCCACAAACAGACCAGGCTATAAAATGGTTGCGCACATGCAGAGGGCCTAGGTCAGTTCCATGCAGGCTCCCCAACTGTCATAATCTTTAACCCCCCACCCCTGTTCCTCCCTCTCTTCAACTGGACTCCAGTAGCTCTGCCTGGTGCTTGGATGTAGATTTCTACATCTGCTTCTGTTGGTTACTGAATAAAGGTTCCATGATGGCAGTTAGGGTAGTCACTAATCTGATTACATGGGAAGACCAGTTTAAGCCCCTTCTCCAATATTACTAGGGTTCTTAATTGTGGTCATCTTTATGGATTCCTGGGAATTTCCCTAGCGTTAAGTTTCTCCCTAGCCCTGTAATGGCTCCCTCTATCTGGATACCTCTTTCCTTGCTCTCACCCCATCCCTCCCCCATCTCAACCATCCTGTTTTGTCATGTTCTCATCCCCCATCCCCTCCCCTTAATGCCCCCATCTTGCCCATGCGAACTCATCTAGTTCCCCTTCCCAGGCAATCTATGTGTCTTGTCTCCTATGCACTTGGGTAGATAGGATCAACATAATAAAAATGTCAATCTAACCAAAAGTAATTTACAGATCCAATGCAACCCCCATCAAAATCCTAACACAATTATTCACAGACCTCAAAAGAATAATATTCAACTTCACATAGAAAAACAGTAGATCCAGGATAGCCAAAACAATCCTATACAAGAAAGGAACTTCTGGATACATCACCATCCCTGACTTCAAGCTCAACTATAGAGGTATATTAATGAAGACAACTTTATATTGGCATAATAACAGACACATTGATCATTGGAATCGAATTGAAGACTCTGACATTGACCCAGACACCTATGAATACCTTAATGACTTGTAAATAGTCATTCTGCACCTCTTCATGGGAAAGCACCGGGGTTAATGCTCGCACCTTGTCCTGACCAGAGGAGGCGCTTAGGACATTGGATGACCAAATAATGGTGATCACACTTTAGTAATGAAGACATTCCTCATATCAAAGAGTATTCCAGCACTAATCCAACAAGGGATGCTTTCTTAGAGAAAGCTTGTACAGCCTTCAGTTTTTGTAAACCAGCTCTGGACTTTATTGTGGATCTTGATACTGATTTTGCTCAATGGATTGGAGTTTGAAATCTTCTCCTGATAGATTTGTGCCATTTTCAGGCTACTTAATGGGATTTCTGTTTGTGGTGGTTTTGAATAAGAATGGATCCCCATAGGCTCATTCATATATTTGAATGCTTAGTCACCAATAAATGGAACTGTTTGAAAAGATTCTAAGGACTTGGAGATGTGGTCTTGATGACAAAGGTGTGGCTTTGTTGAAGGAAGCATGTCATTAGGGTGTGCTTTTAGATTTCAAAAGCTCATGCCAGGCCCAGTCTCTTTCTGCCTCCAGACCAAGGTGTAGAACTCTCAGATACTTCACCACCACCGTCTGCCTGTGTGCCATGATGATGATAATGGTCTAACCTCTGAAACAATAAGCAAGCCCCCGATTAAATGCTTTCTTTGCAATAGTCGCCTAGATCACAGTGTCTCTTCACAGCATTGCTTTCCAGATTAACTGAGTTCTACTTCATTGTGTAATGTGTGCTTAGATTTTATTCTTATACAAATGTCTTTCATGTCTGTCCAGAGGTTAATTTGTTGATAAATTGTTAGTAAATATCAAATTCTTTTCCACTTCAAACATAGGCAGTGGCACGTGTATCTGCTACTAAATAATCCTTTCTCTGTTTATTTTTTCAGGCAAGAAAACTGATCAGTGATTTTGCCATTATCTTGTCCATCCTTGTGTTCTGTGTAATAGATGCCCTAGTAGGTGTGGACACTCCAAAACTGATTGTGCCAAGTGAGTTCAAGGTGAGTGAATGTCTCTCTTGTGCTTGTTCCTCAAACCCCTAGGCTTTCTTTCTTATCCCCTAATGTAGTTTATTGTGAATTTACTTCAGTTAGTTTTGCATAATTAGCCTTTTTTTCCCTCAAAGTAATCCTTTATAAGGCTCACTTATAGTTAGTCTGGTTTTTTCACTAAAATTAAATGCTACAGTTAGGATCAAATTTAGAGTTGTGTTTTATTGACTTTTATTTTAAAATAGCACATAGCATGAACTATCTTGGCCTTATTTATTTTAGGATATTTCAGATACTTTTATAGATCCAATTAGCCTGATTCAGGTAGCAGTTCTGAGAAATGCACACATAATCATCATCATGTCTGTTTTATAAACCAGTGACGTTCACAAACACTATGCAAATGCCCATCACTTCTTCAGGAATGGGGATAAACTGTGAAGGTAGAATTCAAGCCTTCACATTCTAAATTATGGCCTTTCCTTCCTACCAAACTACTTTCCAGGAACACTTATAATATGAAGCTTGTTTAAAGAAATAGAAGAACTATGTATTTTCTGGGTTCTCTCCCCCCCTCCGTGTGTGTGTGTGTGTGTGTGTGTGTGTGTGTGTGTGTGTGTGTAATATATAAGACTTATATGACAGTCATTCATAGTTATATTTCTATGAGTTTTCCATTGCAAAAAAATTAACCTATTTTCTAGAACAATCCTTAGTCTGTTTTTTCTACTGCTGAGATAATAATGTCAAACAATATTAAGCTGATGGCAGTTTTATATAACTAGTTGATGAGAAAGGGATACACATGCATACATCCACATACATGACAATAAGGAATATCTTTGGCACAATATCATATTCATTAACAAAGATAAATTCTAGTTAATTTAATAAGTAATACATTTAAATCAGTATTTTTTAAATGTTTGCCTGGAGCAGGACTTCATCCTGGGGGGGATGAAATGCTTTAATAAGCAAGATAAAATGTCTTGCCTTACAAGCTCACAATGTGTGGTACTGTAATGTGAAGATGGATTTTGTTACAAGTTCACATGTGTTGTTGTACAGTTAGTGTGAAGATGGATTTGTTTGTTTTTTGTTTGTTTGTTTGTTTTTCAAGACAAGGTTTCTCTATATTGTTTTGGAGCCTGTTCTGGAACTCGCTATGTAGACCATGCTGGCCTCAGACTCACAGAGATCCATCTGCCTCTGCCTCCCGAGTGCTGGGATTAAAGGTGTGCGCCACCAATGCCCAGTGAGGATGGATTTTGTTACAAGCTCATATGTGTGATACTGGTAGTGTGAAGGTGAATTTTGCTTCTGTAATGGAGTTTTGAACAAAAGCATATAGGATTTGTGTTTATGCCTATAAGTCTGGCACTCAAGAGACTGAGATAGGAGGATTGATATAAGTTCAAGGCCAGTCTGTGTTACATAGGCAATTCCAGGACAGCCTGGGCTGTAGAATAAGACCCTGACAAAAAGAAGAAGGAAGAGGAGGAGGAAAAAGGAGAAAGAAATTCATGAGTAGTATTATCTTTACATTTATATGCTTTTCTTAAAGTTGGAAATAGCAGACATTTGCTTTCTGTAAAAGGCATATATGATGTACTAAAAGAGGAAAATGAGAACTTTTCCTGTTTTTTTGAAACAGTTCTGGGGATTTCATCTTTTCTGGATAATTTTCACTTATAAAATAAAAGATACAAAGGTTACAATTAGTTATACAATATAAATTACCTTTTTGTATGGTATGAAGCCATTTATCTGGCAGAAGTAGAAAAGAACTTCTGTCCAGTGCTAAAATTCAAACAGAATTTGTGATGGCTTTGTAATTTTTTGGTACCTCTTTATTGAATATTACATTGCAGTTTTCTTCTGTGTCTCTTAATGTTAGATTTTTCTGTTTTCCATCTGATGCCTTATCCCAACTGATTTCATGTATTCAAAATATCACCCACCCCTGCTTTCCCAATAGCCTGCATTTTTCCTCCCCTCCCCTCTTCTCCTCTCCCCTCCCTTTCCCTTTTGGGAATAGCTCCAAAAATAACACTCTTTGGGAAGACTTCTCTTAAATAATCTTTTCTTCCAGACTATAACTGTTCCTACTGTTGACCCTCCAAACATTGATTTTTTTTTTACCCATATAGCATATATTATTAACATTGTTCTGAAAAAAGTTTTATCTCTTTGCTTCTAGCCAACAAGTCCTAACCGGGGCTGGTTTGTCCCACCGTTTGGAGGAAACCCCTGGTGGGTGTGTCTTGCTGCTGCTATCCCGGCTTTGTTAGTTACCATTCTGATTTTCATGGACCAGCAAATCACGGCTGTAATTGTGAACAGGAAAGAACATAAGCTCAAGGTATGTGCCCATAAACATGGTAGCCATTGCCTTCTACTGTCTTCTTAGTTCTTGATAATACCAATTGTTTCAAAACCAAGCCAGCTTTATTGAGAGTTACAGTATAATGAAAAGTCATACAAAGATCAGTTAGTGTTGACAAGGTCCTTGGTGTGGTATCTCAGGATGCAGTCACTTAAATATGAGGAAGATGTTTTGACACATGCTTTTCTTATTATCAAGGGAAAGTATATGTACCAGTTTTACCACTTCTGATTTGGGTGTGGTAACCACCTTCATGAAGACATGGTAATCGAAGATTTAATTAAAGCACCTGCTCTCTGTTAAATAAACACAGATTTTTTTTTCCTTTCCAAGCAGATTTTAGGGGCTAGGAAGTGGGTAGCTAGGTGATAGAGTGCTTATCTAAAGTGCAAGGCCCTAGCTTTCATTCCCACTCTTGTACACACGAAAAAGCGGATAGCATCTGTTTATGGGGTTAATGTGACAATTTGAAACATGTAGACAGTACATAATGACCAAATCAGGTCAGAGTAATTGACATTTCCGTCGCTTTAATCACATCCATTCTTAGTGCTGGGGAATGAGCAAAGATTTATTATTATTTTTCACATATCCAGTTACAAGCTGTTGGTAAGTGTTAATATGCCTACTATACCTCCTTTCCTTGAAAGGTTCATCTCAAGATATTATAGACCATAAAGTATGGAGAAAAAAATTTTTATTCTTATATTTCAGGGTTTGCAAATATTGGCTTAATGGCACTGTCATGAGCCAAGAGAAAATGTTTTAGTGGTATAGGGAATTTTTCAAGAGAGCTGCCTAAACTGTTAATATATTAGGTAAATTTTCTCCATGTCTAGTGATATTTTAGGTCACAAATAATTCTAAAGATGCCATGTTGGGGATGATAGAGGACTAATAAAAGTAAAAAGAGGTAGAAACTTAATGGTTACTGACCATGAGGCAGGTCATTTTCTAAGCACTTTATATTATATATTAACTCATTATCTTTTCACAATCACCATATAAGAGAAGCATGAAAATGTATTAGAATCACACCCAGAAACAGGAAAGTATATCACCAGGATGAATTTAGCAATGGGGTGGCAGAAGGAAAAAGCCAGAGAGAGAGAGTGGTCTGGGAAGGGGGGTAAGGACTCTAGTGGAAAGCCTAGCTGTGTGGTGTTGACTTCCTTGGCACAGAGGGTGGTCAAGAGGACAGCTCCCTGTACAGCTGCTGAAATCCTAAGAGAAATATTGATATGGGGTACAGTGATTTCCTGGCATATTCAATAAGGTGGACTGGTAGAATGAAGATGCACTTGTATTTTAATAGAACGAAAATTGTGAGAGCATGAGAATTACTGATGTCTATTCCCATGGAATGCTGGAGGCCAGAAAGCAGAATTTCACAGAACAAAAACTTGAGGTGGTCACTGATATAAATAAGGCACTGATTTTGAATTATCATTGGGGGAACGGTTGAGTCTTCAGTTGGAAACTTCCATTAACATAACTGTACATATGCATTGTACACCAAGTTTCCAATTTGAAGATGGCTGTTGAACTGCAATGTGTTTATGCCTTGCTCCCACAACAGAACTGTGGCCTGGTTTTCAGGCTTTTATTGGACATTTTTCAGTGTCCTACTCTGAGTCTCACAGCCTTATCTGCTTATAATTAAGGAGCATAATGGGGACAGTTCTTCGCTCTTGCCATCTTGGTTTGATTTTTGTGTGTGCATGTGTGCCTGTCTGAGTGTATGTCACATATGTGGGTGCCTGTAGAAGTCAGAGAAGACATTTGACCCCTGGAGCTGAAATTACAGGCAGTTATGGGCCCCTAGAGTCCTCTGGAAGAGAAGGGGGAGATGCTCCTAACCACTGAGCCATCTCCCCAGACCCTCAAAACTTGTTTCTAAAATCTGATATTAGCGAAGTTCATTAAATTCTTCTCTGCCTAAACAATTCACTTGTTATAGGTTGGGGCAGAAGCGAGGAGATAGCATGTTTCTTTATGTGATTGCTTCTTATTGGGAACATTTAAAAATGATCACTATATTGTTTTATGAAAAACTTTTTGTATACAGTGTTCCACCTCCATGCATCCCTGCAGCCAGAAGAGGGCATCGGATCTCATTACAGGTGGTTGTGAGCCACCATTTGGTTGCTGGGAATTGAACTTAGTACCTCTGGATTAGCAGCCAGTGCTCCTAACCGTTGAGCCATCTCTCCAGCCTGTTTTATGAAAAACTTTATAACTGAATTTTATAACAAGACTGTCACAAGAGTTTAAGTACCTTTGACTAGACACCAATGAAATATGCTTTATTAATTTCCTCAAGTCATCCTGGCAGAAATATTAGAAGAAATCAGGTTCTTATCTGTGATAGCACTGCATACAATAATTTGATTAATAACATTAATTTTTGTATTGTGAAATACATCACAGTTGTCCTCAGTTGTGTAGCAAGTTAAGTTAAAGGTCAGCCTTGACTTCAAAAGTCAAGTAAACAATTTTTGTTCTTCTCTAGGAGCTTTTATTTGCTTTAGGAAGACAAATAATATGTTACCAACATGAAAATAATCTTTTTTACTTATCCTTTTAAAAATCTGTTTATTACTTTGGGAATCTATTTATTACTGTGGGAAATGTCTTTAAATGGTCTCTGACTTCATAAACTCTTGGAAGTATAGAGTTTATAAGTAGATTATTTGTGAATGACATATATATATATATATATATATATATATATATATATATATATATAATTTATCTGGCTATCCAGCCATCTCTTTCTGTGTCCATTCACCCCTTAAGATATGCATATGGATACACATACACAAGAGAAGAAATGTCAAAAGATTAAAGCCTCAACCACTTTAAACTCTATTTTTCGCTTGGGCTTTGCCAAGCCACATAGGTAATGTGTATTCCAGTCACAAAGGCAATTGCAGGTTTATGTTTAAGAATGTCCTTGGAGATTCTTTTTCATCTGCCATTATACTCATTGGCAAGGGTGAGATGCACGGCTCCCCATTGACTCTTTTTAGTAGTAGGAGGGGTCTGAGTGATAGTTTAGTTTATGAAAAGGCTAAACATAGACTAACTCATTTTTAATCTGAAAATATTGGAAACCCACTTTAAATTTTAGTCTGTCACTGGCAAAATTGGTCTATGTGCATTTGGGGGTGAGTTTCTATTATTTTAATGCTCATCAAATTTTCTTATTGATAGTTTAGAATTAAGTATATTTAGGATTGATAAAATAGATAAATATTTTGTATCCCCATACCTTGTAGGAAACATTAGAAACTTAAAAAAAATGTTTGTCCTTAAAATAAGACATGGGTCTACGAAAATTAGTTTCTGTCCCTTTTAGGACTGTTTACTGGAAACTATTCTTTTTTTCATAATGGTGGTAATGGTGCAGATGTAGATGCCAGTCATTTATCATAAATCCAACAACACTGACATTTTATCGTGAATGAAATGGTTTTGTTCTCATTTTGCTCAGAAATGAGAGTTGTGGAATGTACAAATTGGAGGAGATTCTGCCTAAAATTGTAAAAGACATTAAATGCTATGAGCTTGATTCAAAAGGAAAACAAGAGAGATGAGGGTACCACAGTGTTGGAAGAAGCAGCATGCTTGGGGGGTGGCATTTGCTTTGGTTCTGTGTCAAGTGGCTCTGGCTGTCTGTCCTGCTGAGATGACATCCGTCCTTCCACTCCACTGAACAACCCCACTCTGTCATAGCAACACCAGGTCTCTTGACTGTTTGGGTCCATTTTGGCTAGTTATGCCCTTCATCCTACCTGCAGAGTACTCTAAAGCAAATCAGATCCAGCAAGGACAAGTACTTCTCTGAGGTCATTTCCTGAGTCATTGTCAGAGGCCAGGGCAGAGCCAGCTTCAGACTACAAAGCCAGGAATATTCGTCCCCAAAACTGTGACTTCAAGAGCTGTCTGTAGGAAGCAGAAATCATTTAGGACTGTTATCTAGAGATAGATATCACATAACCCTGGCAATCCCTTTTTTATGACACAACTTTGTGGTGAAACACTTCATTTAAATATATTTTCATAGTTTATTTTTAATTAAAAAAAAAATAACTCCCAAACTTCACCTTGCTCTATATTTCTCATTTCTGTCCCTGTTATCACAGTCTTGGGTCTAGCGCTCTTATTTCAAGCTAGATTTTTGTAATAGTTTAACCAGTGAGGCATTGTAACCAACCTTCCTCTCTCTTTCAAACACACACTTTGTTCCATTTGTGAAGTGATGCTCTTACACATTGGTCCTACATCTAAAGCACTTCAGCCATCCCGACTTTTGCCTCTTGACTATGTTTCTCCTAGCCTGACAGTTGAAGAACCTTGATAAATAATCTCAACCTAGATTTAAGACATTCTGTTGCCACTGCCAGCCAGTGCTCTGCATAAATGGTTTTGGGTTCTTGATTCTCACAGTTCTGCTGATGCTGTGGGCTGGAAGATCTGGAAGATCTATTCCTCACTCCCAGGCATCGCTGTTCACCAAAAGCGGCTCCATCCTTTAAGCATTTCTAAATATAATGTTCCCAATGTCACCTACCTTCACCCCAATGTAGTTTTTATTGCCCTTGCTTTTTGTTTTTTTCTTAGTGATTTATATTATTCTGTGCCAGTGGTCACATGGTAGCTCATACAGTGCTTTGAGCAATTACTTCATCCCTATTTCTCAGCCAAAATGTTTCTCAAAGTAAGCCCCATGGTTTATTCACACCAGCTTTTATGTGGCCCGCCACAATTCTATGATAACCTCAATAAACACATATAACTGAAATGCTTTATTATCTTGGTCACATGGTTCTTAGGTTTATGACACTGTGCGAGATGGTAACTGAAGAATATGCAAGCCCATCCCCACTCCTAAGGATGGTTGATTATGTGGTTTAAGGCCATGTGCAGATGAGACACGTTGAAACACTTCATCCTTGGTGTTTTTAGTATATTTTCCAAACTTATGTGATTTGCCATTTAGAGTCCATTTTAATTTTCATGCAAACCCATGCCCTCTCCTCCATCTCATCTGAAACCTCTTGGTGGGGCATTCCTAAGGTGGGACACAAATCCTGTATGTTCCTAGCATCTTACTTTCTGCCTTGTATCCTGCTTGCATATGATCACTTGTTTGTGTGCCTTATCTCAGCTAGTCACCTGTCTTCTCTGTAGGAATGGGTGTTTGTCCTGCCCATTGTTTAACTGAACACAGGGCCTAGTCCAGACTGAGACTTCAGTGAATGTTTATTCAGTAATAGTTTACCACACAAAGGCCCCCTAGTGAGAAGGAGCCTGTGTGGCAAGAGGCAGAGAGTAGAACAAGTGACTCAAGTTGAGGACAAAGGGAGTAGACTCAGATCACAGAGCACAAGGTTTGTCAGCTTAAGCATTTGGCCCAGGCTGAACAATGCTGTTGGCAGTGGCTGGTCTATGTACTGACTGGGCTCTGTCTAGGGTGGTCAGTTGTACCTCTTCTCCAAAGTTATAATGCTCAGAAATATCTCCAGACATTGCTAGGTGTTGGCCAGAGTGTGAAGTGGTCAATTATTATAGAACAAAATGCTCATGTATACCCTTACAGATAGTTTTATACTGTTTAGTTTCCATTAGTATTGTATTGTAAGTGAAAACTGGAAGCCACTGAAATATTTTGATCAGGGAAGTGTCACAGGTTGATTAAGATGTTTAAAGATTGGCCTGTGAAGAGAGTCAGTTGTAAAGGGGCGAGAGTAACATCCTGGGGTGATGGCTGCCAAGGGTCTGTGTGAAGGAAAAGGGAGATTTGCGTTGAGACCAGAAGGGAAAGGATGGGCTTTAACCTATGATAAGTTGGATGATAGTATGTAAGTTTGAAGAATTGTATTTGAAACCCTCACACTTGCAGCAGTAAAGAGGGATGGGGGAATTGGGTGAAATGGGGTTACTTACTCTATAATCCAAAAGTCTAGAAAAGCCAGCAGTAATGTGTGTGTGTGGGGGGGAGTTAAGGAGCAGATAAGTTTTATGCTATTTTTGAGTATTTCTGTTTCCAGTCCTTCTTACAGTTTTTAGATAAGGGGTGCCAGTGTTTGCACATGATTTTTTTTTTCCACTCAAACTGAGCCATTCAGGTGCTTCTAGCTAAGGCATGCCTTTAGGAGAGGCTTGTTTCCATGTATATCTGAGCTGATTTGTAGGAATAGCTTCTCTGAGGCAAGTGTTGGCTTCTAAAGAGTTTATAGCAGTAGCTTGGAGCAAAGCTTTTTACCATCTTTTCAATTTTGTGTCTCTAGAACTAACCATAATAAGTCTTGAATGTTAGTAAGCCTTGCATGTTGACATTTGAAGAAATAAATTCATTGAGCTTTTTCATGTCTGGGCTCAGTGTGTTTAAACTACCAGGAAAAATGAAAAGTCGTTTCAGTAAGATTGAGCCAAGGAGAAGAGTGGAATTTATGACAGGTAAATGTTAACATGAGAAGTGGCACACATGATGTTATTAGTGAAGGAAACACATTGAGGGATTCTCATGTGGCTGAGTGTGGTGTTGGTGTAGAATTCAAGGAGAATAGAACAGGAAATATGGAGCTGTAGACATTGGTCCTTCTACCACAGTCCAGATCCTAAGTGTCCCTTCAGCAGCAACATAGACATAAACACTGATATGGGAGGGCAATTTTCAGTGTACAGTTAGAATCCAATGACGTCTATCTTCATAACCATAATCTCCTAAACTAACTGTGGCAACTGCCTCTTAACTGGCCCTGCTGTCCTTGACCCTATTTAATTTGTTCATAACACAGTAGCCCTACTGCTTAGAACATAGCAATCAGTTCACTCTGCTACTTAAAGTCCTCTAGTGGTATCCCATCTTATGCCCGATGCTAACCCAAGTTATTCTGTTTCCTCATAGGACTTACTACATAGTAAGATGCTTTCAAAATGTATGCTCTTCATTACCATCTCCCAGAGTAGGAGGGAAACTCCATGAGAGAATTCTTTTTGTTTATTCACAGATGTATAGCAGCAGCGAGAATCATGCCTGTACTAAGTTGTCAGCCAATTATTTGTTAAGAAATTGAATGATTGAGATTGCAAATATATCATGATACTTACTTCTCTGGTCATTATAGCATAAATAAATTTATGGCATCTCACCCCATATTTGCCTTATTTTCTTCTGCCTTATTCCACTTTCAATTTACATAATTCCTAAACTGAACTGATTCTATACATGTATATTAGCATTTGTCTCATGAGTGGATGTCTGTTCCCAGTCAAAGCTGGCTTTATGAGAAAATGCCTTTGCTTCTGGGTCAGCTCTCTTGTCTGCTATGCATTCTTTGGGAATATTGGCCTCATGTACAGGCTGTGGGTAAACTGTTGGCAATTCTGTTAGAGAAAAGCACTGTTCTGACAAACTGTAACAGGATCTGAATGATAACACTCCCTGGGTTGCTGGTGTAAATCACATATATCTCCACTTTCCAAGGTCAGCCTCTCTGTTCTCTTGGATCAGTCATAGTGTGACTCTAAGGCTTCTCCCCTCATGCTGTGAGAATGGGCAGCTCTAGTTTCCTTGGCCCCACAGGGGTATGAGTCTTTGATTTCTTCATAAATAGAATGGAGAAATATAACCTCAGAAAAAACAATGGAGACATGATGAACAGTATTTATTTAGTGAGTAAAGGAGCTAGGACTTTTGTTGCATTGTCTGCTTGTCCAGTCAGTAAATGTTATTGTGATGACAGGGTGGTGTTTGAAATTAGTTTATTTTGATTAAGGGAGTATTCTTTAATGATGGTCGCTAGTAAGTGGTTAAGTATTCTCAGTGACTATGAGAAGAGGTGATCTTTTACATGTCATGTCAGGATTGTTTAGGGGATCTTAATATACACCTAGTAGCATCACACATATCATTCTGTAAACACTGTCACACAGAGAAGATCATCTGTTGCTTTGCAAGCACTGGTCATGATACCTTAACAGCCACTACTACTCTGACCTCCGCCTCCATCATTGAGCTCATAGCATGTAACATCTACACCCTTGTAAGTTGCTACAATATCTTTTTTTGGGATTACTTCACTGAATGGTTCCTCTAACTCCAAATAAGGCTCCTACTTTCATTGGGGGGAGGGTTTTACAAAATTGGATGCAGAAAGGTTAATTTATAATGAGTAGATGCTAAGAGAAGTGAGCATGTGTCTAAATAAATTATTCAGAGTTATAATAGAGTAGTTATCTGCCCAGGTTCTAGAGGAGATGGCTTTGTGTTTACCTCTAGGGAAGTATTATGAGGAAGAGAAAGTTTCTCCTCAAAGCACTTCCTTATGAGAGATATTTTTATGAAGCAGAACAAGCTCCTTTTGTTCATCATAATTCTGGTGCCTAACTACAGCTAGAGGACATGTGTTGGTACTTTCTGTACATGTGCTGTGATTTCTCTCTGCAGAAGGGAGCTGGGTATCACCTGGACCTGTTTTGGGTGGCCATCCTCATGGTGGTGTGCTCCTTCATGGCTCTCCCCTGGTATGTGGCTGCTACTGTCATCTCCATTGCACACATCGACAGTCTGAAGATGGAGACAGAGACCTCTGCACCTGGGGAACAACCGAAATTTCTTGGAGTGAGGTGTGTTGTCACAGGGCAATGGCTCTATAAAGCCCACATGTATACATCTTTGTATCTGTCATAATGGAGGTGGATACAATCCATGAGATAGGTCATGCATGATACTTTGTTATTAAATTATCTTTTCCAGAAAGGACTTTGTTTCTTTGCTGTTTTGTTTTGTTGAGACAGGGTTTTTCTGTGTGACCTTGGCTGTCCTGGATCTTGCCCTATAGACCAGGCTGCCCTCAAACTCAGAGATACATCTGCCTCTGCCTCCCAAGTACTGGGATTAAAGGCGTGGGTCACTACCACCTGGCCAGAAAGAACTTTTTAAGATAAAGGATAACTAGTAGCTTTTAGTTTACTCATTATAGTATGTACACATGCTTGATTTCTAGAATATTAAATGATGCAACATAAAAACATAAGTGATTTATTTTCTTCAGTATACAGCTGGGTGCTGTAGAAGTGCTGTACCTCAGTCATGTGTAGAACTGTGAACCGTTAAGTCAGCCAAGGTCTCTAACATTCTATGAAGGACTTATGAATTCACGTTTTCCAACTTATTTCTGTCCCCATGAGAACTTGAGAAACTATAACCTTTAAATATTAAATTAGAGTTGTTGTGAAGGTTAGTGGTTAGCCTTTGTACACTATTGTTTTTTGTTTTGTGTGTGTGTGTGTGTGTGTGTGTGTGTGTGTGTGTGTTAGTAAGCTTTGCTCACAAGAGCTAGGGTGCATAGCTCACACAACAGAGCCATCATTTCCCACGCCTCAACAGTGGGTGATTCTTTCTTGGGAGGGGGAGATGTTGGATGTGCATCATATTTGTTAAAAAGTACTTCTGTTGTTGCAGATTTAGAAATTAGACTGTTGAGATTTATTGCACTCATGAAATTTCCCTGAACTGTTTGTTAATTAGAATGTGGGACAATGTAATATCTGTCTCCCATGAAAGAAGGTATAATTACACAACAGCAGCACAAGTTGTTTGAAAAATAAGGGCTTCAAAGAAGCCAGTAATTGATGAACCAAGAGCAAATGAATTTTTCTTTCTTGGTTCTGAAAGGAGCAAAAGCATTAGAAGAATCACTTTTTTTCTTCATGAGTTCAGTAGTTTTAATATTTTTAAGTTCACACTTACGTTGAATTCATATGATATTCTTGAGATCTGAAGTGCATGATACCACTGTCTTTGATGATTTAGCCCAGTACAGATTTTTTTCTTTCTCTGAGGGTCTGTGAGAACTGGAGTTAGATTGATGACCTTTGATTTTGTTTCAGGGAACAAAGAGTCACTGGAACCCTTGTGTTTATTCTGACTGGCCTGTCTGTCTTCATGGCTCCCATCTTGAAGGTAAATCAATAAAACATTCACCTCTTCTTCTTCCTTGGAACACCAACTAACAACTGGACACATGAGTGTGAAACATTTGCAAGATTTCATAACACATGGAAACTTGGGCCGGTTAGAAAAAGGACTTTAAAAACATCTGCCTTGATTTTCCCTTCTACCCCTCTATTCCTTTCTTTCCTGTTATTTTTGTGGTTTGTTGTTTGAATCATCTGACATCACCAATATTAAAACCTCTTGTGACCTATAGAAGGTCAGTGTCATACATGTCCTACTCACTGGTCTTCCTCCTTGCCCCTCACTTGCTTTTTACTCCCTTTGACTTCTATCTATCCTGTCCACTTGTCTGCCCCTAAGCTATGCCCCTTGTCACCTAAGCCACACCCTTTGCCAGACCTCCTCAGAACTCTAAGGCTTCTCATGATCACTGTGATTTTTCTGCCCACTAGTTTTTAATTATAACCACATTTCTGTTTTTTTCCTTGAATTAGAGGGCCTGTTAGTCCTGAAGAGGAAATGAGAATAAAATGACTGATGTATAATTGGAAAACGTTAGAAACAATCTTTTGAAGAATCATTGCATTGTAGAATATTTAGAAGGTTGGAAATCAATATATGGGTTGATTGATGAGGTGGGCATCTGTGTAGACAGAGCAACATACATACAATGGCCCCTTTAGGAAAAAGCACTAAAGAAGAAAGTGTATGTTTTTGCTCATGATGCTTCCTGTTTTTTTGATACAAACTAGCTTCCCTCTGAGTCTTTTCTAGTATAAAACATCCCTAACCAATTATTGGTAATTTGCATCTTCTACTTTGTGTTACGGTGTAAAAAGTACTAACTGCCCCCAGATCTAACAACTGTGAGCAGCCACCATTAGCAATAGCTTACCATTTTTCCAACTGAAAAATGTTATTTGTAAACAATTTAATTTTTAAGACTTTTGCATGCTTATTTGGTTGTACAAGTAATGGAGTGATAGTACATGATTCTAAAACATTCAAGTGTGACAATGAGCTGCAAAGCTCTCTTCTCAGATCAACAAGTTTCTATCAATGGCGAGTCAATAAATTTTAGAGGAGGGAGCTACAATATCCAAATCTGGAGACTGACTTTGCCTTTCAAGTGCTAGACTCAAGCATACATTTGGTATGAAATAATTGGTAAATAGTTAAAATACTTGATTATGCACCATTTATCTTTGGTTTCCATAGTTTGTTTTCTCGTTAACTTCTGAACAGAGTCATGAAGGACTGTATATATCAGGGTAACCCACGGAGGAAACTGAGTTTGAAAATGATATCAGAGAAATTATTTCTGGCATGTGTCCCATAGGGTCAGAGGAAAATCCATGATCAGTTGTATAAATGCAAGGAGGTGGCTTTAAAGGCTTAGTGCACTGGTTCCCAACCTGTGGGTTTTATCCCCCTTTGAGTCAAATGATTCTTTCTTAGGGGTCACCTAAAACAATGGAAAACATATATTTACATTATGTTCACAAATAATAGCATACTTGCAGTTATAAAGTAGTAATGAAATAATTTTATGGTTGGGGTCACCACAGCATGAGGAACTATGTTAAAGGGTCATAGTAATAGGAGGGTTTTGAAACACTGGGTTAATGAATGTGAAGCATTGTACCTTCTGCCAAGGGCTTTAGCTGTTTCTGATGCTGGTGGACATGCTTAAACACTCTTACCTCATGCAATGTGATCACATTTGGAGATGTCACTGTGGGTGGTTAAGACCCTGTGCTGTAGGAAGCACCCATCCCTTGTAGGTGGCCTCATGAGGTACACTGCTTCGGTGCAGCCTTACTTTTCCAGGGAGGGACAAGCAGGCAGAAATCCTTTCAGTTTTCAGGTTTGCTCACCATCACCCAAGTCTCCATTTTGCCTTGTATATCATTTGTTTCCTTCATTAAAACAGCATAAAATCCTGCTTCAGAAAAGTATTTCAAACTTCCATGTTTTTGTTACAGAAAATTTGGGTTTAATCACGGGGACACATGACAGTAGGTTCCGAAGGGGCACGGGAAACAAAAACTGTTTAATGTTTACCTTTAGAAAACTTGACAAAACTCATAGCTGGTACCAGATCTTTGTAACTATTCCTCACTCTGTACCCAAGAAGAGCTGTAGAGAAGTTGAAGCTGAAAGCTTTGGGTTTTAACAGCAAACCTTCTTACCCCATATGTATATGAAGTACCTTAGTGTGTACAGGAAGAGGTGAGATCTCATTAAGAAGAGACAGGAAGTTCCAGAGAGCCACAAGCCAAATTTGCATTCCCTTTTGACCATCCTGGCCAGCCCATGCCTTGGCTTGCTTTACTGGGCTGCTGGTAACCTCATTGTAGCTATTTCTGTCTGGCAACTTTGATTCATTGTAGTGGAAGAAACTTTTTTTCAAGATAGTTTCTCTGTGTAACCTTGACTGTCCTGGAACTCACTCTGTAGACCAGGCTGGCCTCCAACACAGAGATCCCCCTGCCTCTGCTTCCTCAATGCTGGGATTCAAAGTGTGCACACACCACTGCCCAGCTTCAGCATACATTTTAAAGCAGGGTTTTCTCAAATGTAGAAATACAATTGTTTTGCTGGTCTAGCTTGCAGTAGACTGTGGGACACCTGATATTAAAGTAGCGGGGATGAAGGAGCCTTTCTTCAGGACCTCTATTCCTCACTTGAATGAGTTCCTCTCTTCGGGAATCACATTTCCCAATAAGGATGGCTGTCTCGGATCATGTGTCCTTCTCGCCACTGATGTCTGACAAGTTACGTGCATGTATCAGAGATGCCTGCCTCGTTAGCATTTAGAAAGTCAATACAGGAAGAAGCAGATGTTAAGGGTACAGTTTAACTGAAATGTCAGCCATTGCTAAGGAAAGGGGACAATTAATAATTAACCTCAAAATTCATGCAGAAAGTGGTGTCACAGGTTCTCCTCCCATGTGACTTTTTTTTTAAACAACAGGTGATAACTTCAGGTAATGATTTCACTTACAATTCTGCCTTTAAAAGTTAGATCAAATGTGTGGGAAATGGAGTTATATGTGAGTTTTTAAAAAATGAAATGCTTCAATGCCTTCCATGCCCAATTCCCTTTTCTCCTTACAAGTTTAATGGCCTGAGATGACATGAGAAATTTTCTTACATGCATGAAAGCCATATAGATGGTTGCCTACTTATGCAAGGTTACTTTGAACATGAAGTTTATGGCCTTCGTTTTGATCTCTATGTGGAAATCTATATTTCATGTGGAGGAATGTGAGGAATTACAGTCCCAGCTTTAAGCTCATGAGGATACCCCTTGACCCTGTCCAGCTACCTCAAAGCACCACGTGGCATCATAGCTTAGTACAGAACTGGAAAGTGAGAAGAGCTGGCTTCCTAGGCTGGTGGTGTGGCTTCCGCTGAGCGTCCACAGTAGAAGTGCTCTGGGACTGCTAGTGTGCTCCCTGTGAGTGGTGGTCACAGAGCAGCAAAGAGATGAAAGGAAGATCCCTGAGCTGTCTTTCCCTGTTTTCCTGGCAAGACTCAAGAACTGAAGATCAAGTAAAGTTCACAGCTGCCTCCGCTGCCTCTGCTTGGATGAGTTCATCTTTAACATGAGGCATGTCCAAAAGTTATTGTTAAGATTTGCTGCTGTGCTAAAGTATGGCAGACAGCCTTTAGTTTGAACTTGGCCGATTCTTGATCTCCACATGCATCCTGTGCCAGGGAAGCAGGGCACCCATGGTGGAGGTAATCATGCTAATGACTGAAGCTACAGCTTGTTGAGCTGTCTTCCATCAGTGCCTATAAGAACTCTATAAATAACATCACACTTTACATATAGGAAAAATAAGAATAACTTATTAGACTTCAAAATGCGTAGGTGGTAGAGACAAGATTTGAACTCTGGAAGTTCTAGCATAAATCTAGTTTTGTAGCCTTGTATAATGTGTGTCTTTGAAAATAAAATGTGGTACTTAGCCTTCAAAGAATCTCTACTTTCTTTTTCCATAAAATTATCTTTCTCAGATTCTTTGATCTTACTTGGAATCCTTTATGTGGAGAAATTATGTAACTTTCATAAACTTTTCTCCAGACCTCATTCCAGGCTGAGGATCGGAGACTTCTTTATCCGTATAGATTTTTAAGACTTAAAAAGGTTAGGGAATTATATTGGTATTATTGCCAAGACAGGCTAGCTGAAGAGTAGAAATTAAATAAAACAGGGCTTCAAGTCAGCCTTTCTAGTAAACCCTGCCTGTATCCTACCCCCACTCCCCACCCACCCTACCAAAGTCAATGAGGAACCAGGAAGACCTGTGGTTGGCAATTGCAGGCAGCCTCCTCAACTTTGTCAGTCAATGTCCTCAGGATAAGGATGGCATAAGCTCTCCATTTATCATTTCTTAGTTGACATATTAATTAACCAATTGGCAAGATGTTTTCTGTTATGTAGTCTGTCATAGGTTCTTTTTACTTAATGATGCCCAGAGTACCAGAAACAAACAAGTGTCTCAGTATTGTACAATTGGTAGCTAGAATCCAAACCCAGGACTGTTCAACATCTGTTACCCATGTCTTAATCAAGACCTAACTTAGATTTAGACTCAGGCGTGCATGCACACAAGCACTCACACTGAACATATAATCATAGAGAGATCTCAGTCCTTACTGAATTCTTATCCATTGTAAGGCAACTATAGTCTTTCCTTTTTATCAAATGTCCTTCCACATTTTTCCCTCTGGGAGTGTTCTACTATTGAAAATCACCAGGAGGTACAAAGGGAAAATATCTCTAGAGATCCATTCACCAGAATTAGAAAATTTGGTGGCATAATATTAAGATGTTAAATCTTATTTTGATTTCATCTTACCTCTATTATTCTATATGATTATAGGATCAGCCTTTTAAGTTTTTAATTTTTTTAGTGTTTGTTGAATGTAACAGTTCTTTGTAATTATCATTTTTTGCTTCCAGGGTACTATTGATGATATAATTATTTATGCAGGTTATCATTTAACAATCTTAATGTGCCTATGAAATGGGTATTTTTTTTATTTCTCCTGACTTGCTTTGTAAAAATAATTGCCCACTATTATTGTATATTCCACTTCAATTTAAAATTTATTTTTGGTAGACCTAATTATTCATAGATATTGTAACACAATCGCCTATGCTGTCCTTGAACTCATACCCTCATGTCAACTCTCCTGACTCAGCCTCTTCAATGCTCAGAGAATAAGCATGAGCTAACATACCCTGGATGGCTCTTGGTTTGTTTTTTGTTTGTTTGTTTGTTTGGTTTTGCCTTTTTAAATTTAAATTAGAAACAATCTTATTTGATATAAGTTTCCTCTCCCTCCCATTCTCCCATACCCCCATCCAACCCTTATCCTACCCCTCTTCTGCTCCATAGAAAGGGTGAAGCCTTCCATGGGGGATCATCAAAATCTGTCATATCATTTGGGGCAGGTCCCAGGCCTTCCCCCGTGTATCTGGGAATGGGCTCCCAATGTCCATTTGTACACTAGGGATACATGCTGTTCCACTACCAGAGGCCCCATAGACTGCCCAGGCCTCCTAACTGACACCCATGTTTAGGGGCCTGGCTCTGTTCTATGCTGATTTTTGAGCTATCAGTGTGGGGTTCATGATCTACCCCCTTGTTCAGGTCTGCTGTTTCTGTGGGTTTCTCCGGCCTGGTCTTGACCTCTTTGCTTGTCAAGCTCTTGGTTTTAAAAGTGTTCTTTTTTTCTTCCTTTTATAACTTTCTGTTTTGGCAAATGATTCCAGTGTGATTAATTTTTAAACATTGACCTTATGAAATGATTCATAAACTAAATTCTATAAAAATATTCCCTCTACCCCAACAATTCTGTCAGGCTTTATTGGGAGTTCCAATATGGGATTTATATTGATACATACTATTGTGAAGAAAATGAAAATATCACAAGCATTTCTATCATATTGAATCTGACAAAAAAAAATCAATTTTACAGCTTTTCTTATGTATACTGTTTTCTCCCAATTGGGGTGTGTGTGTGTGTGTGTGTGTGTGTGTGTGTGTGTGTGTGTGTGTGTAAAACATCTTCATAGCCCAATTATTTTCTTGCCTACACCCATCTATCCCATTCTGTTAATGTAAGTTCAGAGAATGAATTTGAGGTTCAAGGCATAATGTTCCTTTGCTATGGTAGTAGAAACACATTAGGAAAAATAAATGTTTAGTTAAGCTAAGGTAAGGACACTTTGCTTTAAACAGATTTAAAAAAAAAAAAATGACCACTGGGGGCTGGAGAGATGGCTGAGCAGTAAAGAGCACTGCCTGCTCTTCCAGAGGACCTGGGTTCAGTTGCCAGCACCCACATGGCAGCTCACAGCTGTTTGTAACTCCAGTTCCAGGGGAATTGACACTCTTGCACAAACATACATGCAGGCAAAACACCAATGCCCATGGAATAAAAACAAATTTTAAAAACCCAAGTAATTTCCCATGAATCAACTCTTCTTTCCTCTACCTACTTCTTCTTTACTTGGAGCATTAGAAATGTAACAATAAATGAAATCACCACATATTAAGGGGAAATAGATGCTTTGAAAATGAATCTGAGACATAAATTAGATCATTTACTAATCTTATTTATTCTGGGAAAATGTGCATAAAGAGTTGCCTGTAACCTAAGCACTCTTTAAAAGAAACGGAGGCTTGTGTTTGAGCACAGGTGGCTTGAGTGTGATGTGTCTACCGCTCTGTGGTCACTGCTGGGTATTACAGCCTGCTGGCTGCCTCCCCACCTCATTCAGTTCCTTTTTAATTCTTTTCTGAGGTCAAGATTTAAATTAGTTCTGATAGAATTGCTAATCCTTTTTAGAGAAAATATTTGACAGCTTGTAGAAATATGTATCTACCCCTCATCCCCCCACCCCCCCACCCCCCCGCCTAAGATTTGGCCATTTCTGTGACTGTGACTAACCAGTACCAACTGGAGGCATTTGCAGTCCAGTTTAGGATTCACTAGTTCTCTAATGGTGGCCAGAAAGAACAGCATCAGGGAATTGCCATAAGATGGCTCTAGAAATGGTGCTTCATTTAATACATGCAGTAGTTTAAAAAAAATCTACCCTTAAAGGAATACAATAGCTTCCTACATACAGATTTGCTAGATGGCCTTAATTACGTTTCCATTTTAGTATTTGAGCTTTGAAAAGTCCTTTAGTTACTTGAATTTCTTTTCAAACCAAGGTTGATGCCTCTTGTCATCCAGACAGATTTCTCAGCAGTAGAATACTGCTTGATTCTCAAATGTGATAGCTTGCATTTCACAGGTCTTGGGAAATTCAATGTGTACACCCCAAATTAGAACTTTGTTAAAACATGCCATATTGTTGTGGAGGATATCTTACTAAATAATGAATAAAAGTATTAATTGAGTTTTTAAGGATGCTCATTAATCCATATGTGTAATTAATTGTTTCCAGGTGCTTCGTGCTTCTTTCAAACCATATTCTTATTAGTTCGTAACTTATTAGTTAGTCCTGAGAAGAAAAGGGACAGCCATTTGACGTTTATTTTACTGAAAGAGGCATTTGCGCACAAGCTGGTACATCTTTTGGCAAAAATTAGTAAAGAGAAAACCAACAGACTGTTACAAAAGGATCTTGGTTCCAGAGTGAGGCAATTTGCTACCTCTGCCTGTACCTCATAGCCCACGCAAACATCTGGGTTATATAGTCCAGTGCTTTTAAGGACAAAGAGAAGCCGAAACAGTTTCCCATTTAAAAAAGTATTGTTGAGGCCTTGTATGCCCATTACTTTAAAAAGAGAGAGAGAGCCAGAGAGACAGAGAGACAGAGAGAGAGAGAGACAGAGAGAGAGAGAGAGAGAGAAAGGAAAAAGAAAAAATGAAATTAATTTGAAAGTTCCCCTCATCTTCATTTAATGCTAATACAAGGCTTCAAATTTTACCAATTGATGAGTTAACTGCACTTTGATGATGCCCTATTGTTATATGCTGTGTTTTAGTTTCAGATTCAGCCTTCGTTTAAATTATCCCTCCCCCTAAACATCTTCCTGGTGTTTTAAACCTGTTTCTGTTGTTTTCCTTTCCAGTTTATCCCCATGCCTGTTCTCTATGGTGTGTTCCTGTATATGGGGGTGGCTTCACTTAACGGTGTGCAGGTAAGCCTCCACAGCAGTCTGAGCAAACTGTGCATTGCTCAGAGAAGGATAGTCCTGGATCCATGAAGGCACTAAGCATTACTCACTGACTCTTTAAAATACATTTATTTTCCACTTCCTCAGCCTTTTATCTGGTTTTCATTTCTGATGTAATCAACAAAACCAGCTGGTATCAAGTAATGTTATCCTGAATGCCCATTTCTGAAAGGGGATGCTTAATGTCATCGGGTGAGGAAATGAGCTCTGTGCTACTGTCCCCTCTACCACCATCTCCACCACCACCACCACCACCACCACCATCAGTACCACCTCCATCTCCTCTCTTCTCCATCCACTTTCCTCCTCTTCATCTTCCTTTTTCCAATATTTTTTTCTTCATCCCTATATTCATTTTCCCCCTCTCAAGATGGATATTTGGGCACTTACTTTAACCCTCAGACAGCAGGTGATTCTGCATTGCACATTCCTGAGCTCAGTGATCAAAAGTTTTACAACAATAAACTATTAAAATTAGTGTGTATTAGGTATTGCTTTCATCAAAAATTTCAACTACTTCAGTTAAAATGACCACCCCTGCCCTTACCAATGCCCCTGCCAATGACCCTGCTCCAGCCCCTGCCCCTAGTCTTATTTTTAAAAAACTTGCTAGGGAAAACTTTGTAAGGGGCTTTGTTTCTTGGTGGAGGTTTAATTTAATTGGCACCAGGAAACTGGAAGTTCCGCCGCTTTCTGGAACCCTGTTAATTGTAGCCTTATTTAGCACTCAGTAATGTTTTAATGGGAAAAGACTGCGTGTTCTGTGAGCATCATAAGAATTCATTTGAACTCCTTCAAAACAGCCCTTGCTTTCATTTATTGCATTTATATTAACTTGGTTTTAAAGTCAGATAGATCTGGGCAAATGGCCAGACCCCCCAAAAGCAAAGCAAAGCTCCTTTACTATTCCTGGTTTTGATCCAGTAGAAGAGTTCTTCCGCACTGGGATATTTGTTATGAAACACAAAATAGTTCTTCATAGGCTGCCCTCGGTGAATGGCAGCATGAGTTTATTTGTGCCAACAAAGTATTTAAGAAGTATAACTTTGTAAAATATTTTATTTTTGTCTGCCATTATAAATACTTTGTTTTCCAAATGGGAATAGATGAACATTAGATGCCTAGAAAATAATAGTTATTACTTTTTGCTTGCCCTTAAGGATCCAGTCTAAATCAGAGATTTGTTTCAGGGTGTTCTTAGGACTTTATCAATGGCTAGAACTGAGTACCTGTCTATAAAGAGAGGAAACGAGCTGGCCATCTCATAATGATGGGTGTGGGGAGTGTTGTGTGAACAGCTAGTGAACCGTAGAACTCCTGACATGTTATTATTGTCCCAAATGCCTTTTCACTGTTCCTTATTTTTCTATTGATTTTTTTTCTCTTTTAGACCCTTTTAACGAGGTTGGTTTATCCAAAAATGAATGAATGAATGAATAAATAAATAGATGAAATCTAATCTTTACAGTTAAGAAGAGTTGGTTTCTAAAGGGAGGACAAAAACCTCCAACTAGGCTGTTGCTCTGAAGAATGATGTTTTAATATTGCTTACTTTTCCTTCCATACAACACAATGTTATTTCTGCATTCTTATAATTATTTGGTTCAATAGCTGTCCACACACTGTCTCCTCCTGAGAGCCCCTGTGATGTGCTGCTAAGCATTGTCTTGTCTGTCATCATCAGTGTCTCCTCAGCACATTATCTGTGAGCTGCGCTTGGAACAAGCATGCACAGTCATCCTTTCAACTCCTGGTCATAAATGGCAGAGTCAGTCTCTCCTAGGCTCTTGTGTCTGCTGCCGATGTCTTGAAACTCACTGAGATGTTTATGGAGCTTTTCTCTGAAAAGCAGCAGGGACACATTGGTGGATATGGATGTGTCCATCAAATTATAACCTAGAAAAAGCAAGTGGGATTTATTGGTACAATCTGTGCATTCCCGTTTTAACTTAGATTCTTTTAAAGATCACTGTGGTGCTTACGATGTGGGCTATCATCTGTTCTTCATTTAGATAAGACAACTGAGGCGGGAGCAGATTCCTAACTTAGATGTCTTCCTTCATTATATTATAGGTTCAGAATCCTCTGTGTTGAGAAGCAGAGACTAGAGAGACAAGGCAGAGGATGAACAGCTAGAATTGTTTGCTTTGGAACTTTATCCTTTGTGCCCACTTAGCTGCTAACATCTCTGCAAAATAAAAATGATCAGCAAAACTTAGGAGACTGGTAACATGATCTGACTGACGTAAATCCCCTACTCCTTAATCTGAGCTTTGTCCTTTGAAGAGGACATTGCTTTCCTGAAATACATACTGTAAATCACTGGTGGCTGGTTAAGCTGAGTGGAAATGACCCAGTTGCCTCTTCAAATAGTACATTGTATTTTCTTCCACATTCCTCCCCAGTTCATGGACCGCCTCAAGCTGCTTCTGATGCCCCTGAAGCATCAGCCTGACTTCATCTACCTGCGCCACGTCCCACTGCGTCGAGTTCATCTCTTCACCTTCCTACAGGTGTTGTGCCTGGCTCTACTCTGGATCCTCAAGTCAACAGTGGCTGCTATTATTTTCCCAGTCATGGTAGGCTTTCCTAATCGAAATGACTGTGTGCATATCACATAGTTATTGTGACATGGAAAACACAGATGGTGTACGTGTGTGGCTACTCTTCCACTCCTTCTAGCTTTCAATTGGTCATGTTGGCCAGCTTGGGGGGGCATGCACCTTAGAATCATGCCCTTCTGAGTTCAAATACTGGCTCTAATTCCTGCTGGTCAGCAAACATACTTGAGCCACCATGAACTCATCCATGGGAGGGTAGCATTGCCATTGTTCTGAGCATTGATAATGAATGCCAAGTATATAACACAATGTCTGGCAAGTAGTAGATACCAGTACACATGATTTTTAGGGTATTGTATAACAGAACCAATCTAAAGAAGAATAAAGTATACTTTAGTTCAAATAGTAGAAGCATTGTAGACTTGTGAGAAAAGGAAGGGCTCATTAGAAGAAGTAGAGTATTTAGGTTTATGTGGTTTTCATTATTTTAAGGATAAGGCTGGACTCTAGTCTGCCCCTGGTAGTCATCAAGGTAAAGCAAGTAACTGCCCCTCTGAATGAAAAGGCAAAGAGGAAATGCAAGCTCTAGGTCTTGCCTCCTTACTGAAATTTATACTCTATTATAATTCTATTTCTCAAAAGAAACTGCCCACATATACATATATTGTGTGACAAAACTTTTCCTAGGAAGATGTAACACACATGTCTACTCACCCCAGATACGGGAACCACAACAGACCAAAGTATGGATACCACCTGAAAAAAAAGTATCAGCTCAGGGCACCCCAAGACCAAGTTTTCAGCATAAAGGAGATTTATTTGCCTCAGAGAGACAAAGGGCAGGGATCAAGGGACAAGAATGGGAGATAGAGGGAGAAGGACCAAGGATATTTGTCCCTGAGGGGAACAAGGGACTGTCTCTGGATAGAGGAGACAGATGTGGCATAGACTAATGGGACTTTATAAAGGTAAAGAGGAAACCCCCATGTTAGGATGAGGTATTTAATTTTATTTGGGCATGTTAATTAGGTGAACCAAAGGTGGCTTTTAACTTCTAGATTTCAATACCTTGACAGCTGGGCCTTGGTAGTCAGCCTCAGGAGGAGGGAGTGGCCAGATAAGGGAATGGACCTTAATGGCTAGTTTTAGGAATGTAATCAAACAGCTTTTAGTAAGGCAGAGGGAAGGGGAGAGAAGATTAAGGCCTGCCAGAGCCATGCTCCAGTGGGCTAGTGAACCAATGAGTTTTATTGAGGTTTCTTATAGGAATATGAGTGAGGGGTTACTAACACGAATGGAAAAGACTCAAGAACAGATGCATCACTAAGGCCACTCCAGCAATGGTGACAGTTCACAAATCTGGGAACTTGGAACATATTACACAGCCTGCAGAAAGCTAAACATGTTTGATGGTGTCCTTTCCATGTGCCTCAGTTGGTCTGAGTCTCTTCCAGGTGGTTTGTTTGGTCAGAGAGCCTTCATTGTGGCTTAGCTAGTTTGGTCTGTGAGGGACTCAGCTTTTATTGCTTACTATGGCTGGGTAGGCAGAACTAATGAATCTGGTTAGTTTCAGGAACTTCCTGAAGGTATTTTGAGTTGTTTATAGTCCTGTTTAAGGATCTTTCTTGCAGTGTTTCAATCATTGGAGGAAACAGATACATAACATCACATAAAATGGATCTCAAAGCATCCCTATGATTCTAGAAACCATTTATATAGCATATACTTACCACATTTTGTTTTTAAAGTCATCTTACTCATATCAGGGATTGCTATTTTGTTATATACATTTTTCTGTTTATAATTGTATTTCTTTTTGTTCCCAGGGATATAGGAAAAATAGTTTAAAATATTACTGACATTTTCTAAGCAAGAAAAAAAATTGAACATTATAAGTGACTCCCATTTACCTGATAGAGCTTTCTACGAACCCATTATTTTGTTAAAAGTGGGAAAATTAAGCTACCCATAATAAATTTGAGATATATGCAGCAAATTATACATTGCTTATACTAAATAATTTGCTTTTATAAAGTGTTATTTTTCCAGAGATTTCCTTAGGTTCATGAATGGTTTTGGAATGTCAGTGGGGCAGATGTTATTGATCTCTTCAGAAAATGGTTGCCTCGAGTATAGAGGGTAGAATGTATAAAGACCACTGCTTTTAGAACTTGGCTGTGTATTACTTTTATTGTTGAGCAGCTGATATTAATAGTGGAAAGGCAAGTCATGTGATAGAACCTGGTATTTGTGTGCAGAATAAAAAAAAATACAAAACTGACAAAACACAGAACTGTTCATAGGACCAAAGATACAGAGGTAAAACTTGTTGGCCTAAAAAGCAGCAAAGTGGGCCTCAGGAGATTAAATATAGAACATAAATCACTTCTCGTCAGAAATGGCTGAACTAATTAATGTCTTGTCGATTAAGGGCACTTCCTGCACTTACAAATGTCTGATCCTGACACTCCTGTCTATCCTCCACCACTACTTGCATACATGTGTACATACATAAAAATAAAATAAATGAAGAAGGGAGCATATACCTGTCTATTGCGGTAAATAAGGATCAGGATAAACAATTAGGCCGAATAGATGTTTATTCAGGGAGAAATAACTTACAACCTAGACAGATGAACACCAGGAAATTCAACCCGATCCTCTCCTGTCCAAGTCACGCAAGAAAGAAAAAGCCTTCCTGGCCCCCTCCGACCTCCTTCCACATGTCACTTCCGCCCATGGCTCCACCCCCCAATGGGCGTGGTCAGTGCCACAGAAGGACTATCTCACTACACCTGTCCACTTTGCATTCTTTGTTTACTGGTACCATGACCTCGGATAGTATAGCATTTATAAACTTCAGTTTGCTCATCTGGATGATGGAAATAATATATTTATGGAGTTCGTTGTAAGGAATAAACGAACTAATATTTCCTAAGTGTTCAGCAAGGAACAGAAACATGGTAGGCATTTAGTTTATAATAATGACTAGTTTTTAGAAACCTTTATAATTTAAAATTTTTCAATACTTAGGAATCACACGCAAGCTATTTTTACTTATAAGCTTTTAATTTTATTAAAAACAACATGGAAGGAAATAGTTTGGGAAAATAATTATGTCTCATTCAAATTGATTTGAATATAAGCATACATTCTCTGATTTAATATAATCATATATCTCTACGAACAGAACAAAGTGGATTTTGACTGATATTTTCATCAAATAACTTGCCCAGGGAAGACTGTGGGTCACTGGGTATGCAGTTCTGTCAGACACTGGACTTATATGGATTTCTGCAGATGTTGATGGGCAGCATCAGCAGCATCCTTAGGATGTCATCTGAAATGCCTGTTTTGTGATTGTGTTTCCAGATCTTGGCACTGGTAGCTGTCAGAAAAGGTATGGACTACCTCTTCTCCCAGCACGACCTCAGCTTCCTTGATGACGTCATTCCAGAAAAGGACAAGAAAAAGAAAGAGGATGAGAAGAAAAAGAAAAAGAAGAAAGGAAGTTTGGATAGTGACAATGATGATGTAAGAGTGACTCCAAACTTTTCATGTAAAGCCAGTTAAAGAAACATTTTTTTTTCTTTGTATTTGTATTACACGGGCCCTGTATTTAACACTTAAATATTTAGCATTATTTCTCAATAACTCTTAAAAAAGATGGAAAGGGCTCTTTCCTGAATTATCCTCATCAGTGCCATAGTCCAGATGGTTGTCCTATAGTTAGGTGATTAACTTGAGAAATGAAAATGTTCATATGCTTCTTTAGATCATGTCATGGAAGTACATATGCTTAAGAAGGGAGGGTGGGGTATCTATAATCAGAGAAAATCTGGGTTTTGTTATATATGCATGTGCATGTAAGTGTGAATATGCTTGTAGACACATATATACACACATACATACACACACAAACACACATGCATGCACACTCTCACACATACACACACATACACACACATGCATACACACATACATACACACACACACATACACACACATGCATACCCACACATACACACATGCATACATACACACATACACACTCAGACAAACGCATACACACACGCATACACACACACACAATGAAAACTCAAGCTAGTATCCTTTTGAGAGTTGTCAAAATGACACTTTTTTGTGTGAGTCATTTTGGGGGGCTTTTAATTACTCATATTGGAAAATAATGGCCTCATATTAAAATTCTGATTGAATATGATCATTCATCTCTGTGACAAAACAGAGTGAGTTTTGAATGAGACTTTTATCGAACAATCCTCCCTATGAAGACTGTGTCATCCTGTGAGAAGTTCTGTCAGGTTCTGTATCTGTGTGGATTTCTGCTGGTTTTGATGGAACAATAGCATTTTCAGCATCCTCATGACATTGTAGGATCTGCTTATGCCTCTGCAATCCTAACGTAGGAATATAGTTCATTTTTACTTGCTCAGTAACTTCAGCTAAGGATGCTTTATCTCCATGTGTCATAACATCTCCTTAAAGTGCATGTTTTTTGTTATCATTTTATAGGTAAGGACATTTAGAATGATAAACATTGACTTTTTTATTTTTCAGAACCTAAAAAAATTAGCATGAGGTATTACAGACAAATGAAATGTATACATTTAAAGTGTACAATGCAGTGCTTTGACACATATATTAAAGTCATTTTTCTAAGTGTGCACAGCTGGGTGTGACAAAGCCAGAGCTCCTGCCCAAGCTTCTCTGTGTGTTTGTAGTTGATCGGGCTGTCTGGTTGTATTCTTCTTGTACAACATGGGTATAATACAGCAAAGGGAAGCAACAGACAGAATTGGATTTCAGATAAATTGATCCAATAAGAAAAGGCTAAATATATGAGACACATTTAGCTATAGAGAAAAGGGCTTGGAGGGAACTTACATGACTATCACCATCCATCTTCTGAGAGAGCAGGTGTATAGATTTTCTGTTTCCAGTAATGAAAAAAGCAAACTCAGAGCATATGTTTAAACTGCAGCACAGATGAACATGCTGTATTAAAAAGAACAGTATACTAGGACACTGACTAGAAATCAAAGCTTGAAGTAAATTGTGGACCATTCAAGACAAAAACCAAAAGTTGGCTGAAAATATTAAAATAATTAAAGCAGTATTTCATCTTGAGTTTTTGAAATGGACACCTCAGTTTGTACTCACAAACACCAAACAAAATCATCACACATTATTAATGTGTAAACTAATATTAATGGAATGTTCTCTATTATTTAAAGTAATATGCAACCATCTCAGAATTCTTAGATATGTTTTTGATGACTTGTACTCACACAATGCTTGTTTGATGTTATTTACCACTTTCTGCTGCATGTTACAAATAGGTTTTTGGGAAATGTCTTGGGTGATGCTAATTTCTGTTTCTTATTCTCTACCACATCTGTATCCAGATAGAATATGTATGCATTTGTTCATATACAGTTAACATGCGTGACAGTTCAGAGTATAGCAGGCTAGTAGGTTCTGTATGTTGAGCCCATTATTTGAAGACTACACTTTGGAAGAGTCTCTTTTGATACTCAGATGATGTGGTGTCCTTGGTTACATGTGTCTATACTGGGACTCCAGTTCTTGTATTATGGCAGACATTGTGGAAATTATGTCTTATCTGCTCACAGTCACTTCTGGGCCTGCCTAGTAGTCTGTAATTAAGTGTTATGTGTTGAGCATATTCCCTCTCATGTCCCTGTTCTCACCCTCCTTCCTCCACTAGTTCCCTTTATCTCCATAAACACTTTTACTTCATGATTTTATGTAACTATATAAAATCTAAGAATGACAAATGAAAGAAAACTATAATATTCATCTTCCTGAAACTGGCTTAATTCACTTACTATGATTATCTCCAATTGCATCTAACTTCTTTCAAAACAACATGAGTTCATTGTTCTTTATGGCCAAAAGAAAAATGTAAGCATGTGTGTGTGTGTGTGTGTGTGTGTGTGAGAGAGAGAGAGAGAGAGAGAGAGAGACATTTTCTTTGTTCAGATTCTGCTGTTGGACACTTAGGTTAGTTTCATAATTTAGCTATTGCAGATAATGCTGACATAATCATAGAAACTTTAAAAAGTATATGATATTTTGGGCCAGGTGGCCTGTTCTTAAGTTCTACAAGTAACTATTGAATTTTATCATCTTCCTGGTTATGAGTCTCTACTTATCTGATCATCCTTTTGGTTTAATTTTTCTCATTTTTTTACTTATGTTTAAACATTTTTGTCACAAGCAAATTGAAATTAATTTTTAACTATAGAATAATTTTTTGAGTGTATTAAATAAGAAAGGGAAACTAAATCTATAGAAGGCTACTTGCCAGTGATGTTAAAAATGTCTTAAAATCATTTTGGACAGGAATATGAGTCATAATTTTCCTGGAGAAAGAATCAGAGAACACTGTAAAACAAAACATGAAATGTAAGACCATATATAGTTTGGAAATTTTCCTGGGATTAATCTGTGTTCACAGGGAGCATTTTCGATTCACACATACAACAACCAAAGCTTGCCGATTGGAAACCCAGTTGTGGAACACTTTACAGTTGTGCGTGGTTTGCTGATTCAGACTCTAACAATGGAATACTTTATAGTGAGGCTAGAGGCATCTCTTTGCTGTGGTTTGAATCTCAGTGAACTCAGTCCCATTAACTCAGCAGACGGGAAGAAATGATGGATAAAGTTGTAGAGTACTTGAAAACATTAGGCAGTTGGAAACGATACCTAATGCTTTGCTCTCTAGTTGCTCTCAATGATAAAATGGTAGGTTTGGGCAAACACTGGGAAGCAGGAAGGACTGAAATAATAGAAAAGATTCTAAAAACTGTTGTACATTTCTTTCACAGTCTGACTGCCCATACTCAGAAAAGGTCCCCAGTATTAAAATTCCAATGGACATCATGGAACAGCAACCTTTCCTAAGTGATAACAAACCCTTGGACAGTGAGTAGAACTAACCTCTTGCATGCTTGCCTGACTATGACCCACGCTTGTCCTCTAGGACTGCCTTCAGGTTGCCTCTCTCCTACATTGTTTTTATTCTTTCCTATGTGAAGACTGAAACAGCTTTACTTCTTAGAAAACTTTATTTTTGTTCCTTAAGCTTTACCCATCTTCCTTTTATTCACAACCTCTTAATTTTATTTTGATAGCCTCTTTGCCAAGTTATCACCAAGGTTCTTTTGTTTGTTTTGTTTTCAATAGCTAAACTTGTAACTGTATTTTTACTTGATTCCCTCCCCCCCCCACTGATATTTAGATCTGCAGCTTATATAGTATTTCAACACTGTCTCTCACTGTTTGTCCTCCTTAGGTCTCAGTTAATCATCTGATTGGTTAAAAGAGAAAAAATATAGCTGGGTCTCTCTGTGATTAATGAATTGTTAATATTTAGAATTTAGAATACTTTCAATTAAATTTGCAGACATGAAATATTAGTAAAACTTTCTAGATATAACTGATTTATGTTTTCCTTCCTAAATTCCTCTTCTGTTATTTCTCCAGTATTAGGTTGGCAGCTACCATGTAATAGCATGAGAATGTCATCTTTTGACTATGATTGACAGTCCACTCTGTAGTAACATCAGTGAACAAATGAAGCTTTTCCAATAACATAAAGTAATTGCTGCCAAAATACTTCATGCTTTGAGTTTTCATTTGAAGAAAATGTATTCCTTTAGATCTGGCTGTACAGAGGAGGACACTGAGCTGGTGTAGGAACGACAATGGAGACACTTTTATTTCTAGTGGATAATGCCACCCACTGTCAGTAAGACAGTCACCAAGGAAATTTGAAATGAATAGCATACATATGGGGTATAGTTATCAATTTCTCAGTAATGAATTACCCCCAAAGTCAGCAGCTTACAGCACAGCATGTATTTTCTCTCAGAGTTCTTGACATTCAAAAATTCAAGAACCTTGTTGAGTTGATGATTCTGGCACAGGGTCTCATGAGATTGCATATTCGGCTGTCAGCTGAGACTCTAGGGACTTGGTTGGAGCTTAGGATCTGTTTCCAATCAATGGCCTTTGAAAGGAAAGTTCAATTCCTTGGCCTGTGGATGTTTCTATAGAACTATCAGGTCACAGTGGCATGCTTCCACCTAGAGATAGCTTGAAATTCTAATGGAAGCTATATTTCATAATAGAATCCAAGATGAAAGCATCCAGAACTTGTGCCATAGTATATTAGCTGTGAGACAGCTCTGTTGCCGTGTGGGAGTTGCACAAGAACATAGACACCAGGAAACGGGATCTTTGAACACCATTTGGAGGAAGAGTACCCATTGCGTTGAAACCAATCAGTCTTACCTTTGTTATCTAACTTGTAAATATCACTTATAAACATAGCTAATTTTATGCCCACCTTTATCAATTGAAATTAGTTAGGAGTTCCTTTTAGAATTTAAGTTCATCTATCATATTCTGCTTTCATTGCTTTCATTTTTTTAATCCTAGATAACTATAGGCAAAAGAAGGCTGTAAAGGTTACTTAAAAAAAATTGCTAGTCTAGAACTTAAGACTTTGTTTGCCCTGTCAAAATCCCTTTATTAGTATAATTGATGGCTGATATAGAAGCTTATATGTGACCATTTTTTCCTTCAACTCATATTTCTTTATTTATTATTTATTATTTTACATATTGATACCAGTTCCCCCTCCCTCCCATGTTCCCCCACCCTTCCATCCCCCCACTCCAAAGGGAAGGTGGTTCCTTCCAGGAGGGGTCAACGAAATCTGTTAAGTCATTTGGAGTAGGGACTAGGCCCTCCCTCCTGCCTCTAGGTTAAGGGAGTATCACTCCATTTTGACTGAAACTTTCCTAATGATGTGGTAAACTTCCTAGGCCAACAAAGAACAGAACTAATTAAACTGGAGACGTAATACATGTACCTCCAACACCTCTTTACCTATTGAATAGCAGCAGCTAGGCAAGACAGAGCGTTGACATGGATGGAAGCTCAAGGACATACATGAGACACAGAGAGAATGTTCTAGCCCATGGCAGGGATTCCCCTCCTACCCTAAAGGAAAGGGGAAAATGAATTGGGCTCTATCACACTGCATGCTTAGCTTGATACAATGTTCATTGACACTGTTTAAACTTGATTTTCTTACTCTTTCCAGTTCTGAAGGGTGCCTTGGTTTGCATGAAGATTTTCATATTCACTCTAATTTTACATTTTTTTTTTTTTTTGCCAAAGATCTATTTTGTTTAATTTCATTTTTTTTTTCTTCCCAGGAGAAAGATCATCAACATTCCTTGAACGCCACACATCATGCTGATAAAATTCCTTTCCTTGAGTCACTGGGTATACCAAGGTAAGCATTTGCCTTGTGCTGTGGGTTGCTGCAGCAGTAGGGGTTATGGGCAGAATCCCTGGTTCTCTTCTCTGGGACTTAAATAAATTACCCATGGACCCAAGCATTACCACAGGCTTAGCTGATAGGAGGCATTATTATAGACCTGAACTTTACTCTCAAGAATAATGAAAAAACTTAAGTGCCATTATGTTAAAGGCTAGGATCGATACTAGTCCTTATGATTTCATTGTCACAACTGTGACTAGAGTTTCCTCCTCTCTAGCAAGGGTTTGGAAATGACAGGTCCTATTTGAGTCTCAGAAGACAGAACCATGAATGTCTTCAGGGTGCTGGTCTTGGCCCTTAATTTCTAACAATATTAGCTACATGGTAGTTCCATTTTTTGTTTTATTTTGACAATGTACTTTCATTTGAAAGTTCCTGTTCTTCCCAAAACTAGGGAGGCAGGGGCAGGTGGTCTCTATGAGTTCGAGGCCAGCCTGGTCTACAGAGCTAATTCCAGGACAGCCACACAAAGAAAACCTGTCTCAAAACAAAACAAAATAAATAAATAAATAAATAAATAAATAAATAAATAAATAAATAAAATCCCTGTTCTTAGTATGGAGCAGACTGCTGATACATTTTAAACGTGAACAATGCATAAGCATTTCAGAGATGGGAATGGAAATTGTATTTACTGGCGGTTTTTCTTCTTTGTCTGTTTTGTTTCAGTCCTCCTAGAACTCCAGTGGAAGCTGTGCCTCAAATTAGAATAGAACTTGAGCCTGAAGACAATGATTATCCCTGGAGGAACAAGGGAACAGAAACTACATTGTAACCTATTTGTCTTTCTCAAAACTGACAGTTATGTTGTTAACTGTTTTAACTTTTTCCCTTTCTTTTTCTGTATGTGCATTTTAACACTTTTGTTTGGTCACTGGCTGAATAATACAGTCCCTCTCTCTGCTTCTCTCTTGCATAGGTAAAATCAAGACAATAGTGTCCCTTTCCTTTACAAAAAACAAAAAGCATCTGAGGGATCACACTTTTGTTTGCAGGTGTTCAGATGTGTCCTCTGACATGTAAATCCCTGTCACTCAAGACACACACAGAAGCTGCCCTTGTCAAGCAGCAATCAAAAGTATTAAGAATTTTGTACCACCTTTTATGAAACTGTTGAAGGAACTCATGACCTAAGCTTAGAGCTGTGCTTGTTGGCTTGCTATTGTCTGGTAGAGCAGCCCTTGAACTCCAGACAGAGTCCCTTCCTGCTTACAGAGACCCGAAGACTGGAAAAGTGCTGCTACCAACCTGCCCTTGCTGTCAACCCTGATCTTAGAGTTATCAAAAGCAGAAAACACTAATGGTACTTAGCTCCCTATAGAGAAACCTTTGCCATCATTGTAGCAAGTGCTGGAATGTCCCTTTTCCTATGCAACTTTTTTTTAACCCTTTAATGAACTTATCTGTTGAGTACATCGAAGAATATTTTTCTTCCTAGATTTTGTTGTTTAAATTATGGGGCCTAACCTGCAACTTATTTTTTGTCAATTTTTTAAACTTTTTTTTAATTACTGTAAAGAAAAATGAATTTTTTCCTGCAGCAGGAAACATAGTTTTGAGTAGTTCTACCTCTTACCTGTAGCTGCCAGGCTTTCTGTAAAAATTGTATTGTATATAATGTGATTTTTACACACACACACACACACACACACACACACACACACACACACACACTAGGGTAAGCCAGAAGGCTAGAACAAATTAAAAGAAAAACAAAACACCATGTTTTTAAGAATCTGTTGGGTTGTTGTTTTTTTCCCCTTTCTTCAAAATAAGTGTAACTGTTCTGTGAAGGAGTTTGGGGAGAAAAACACATGCAAGAGGGGGTAACGTCTGTTGCGGTGATGGTCATGCTGGGGGCAGATGTTGGTGTGTTACATGTTGATGTCCTATGCAGTATTGTTAGAGATTTCCTCATTTTAATAATTTGTGTGCTTGTGTATGAACTCTGTGTGTGGCTGTTGCACACTTGGGCAAAGCCAGATAAAGAGTGACAGTAGACAGAGCCCAAAATTGTCAAGCCCCTTGTGTCCATTTTCATAAAACCCAAACCACTCATGAAAGATCTGTCAGGGGCCAAGAAATTTATCATGTAAATTCAGGTGACAATATCTTATTAGTTACTCAGACATCAGTCATCATCATAGATATTTCATATTACAGTACAAAGGCTATAAGAATCTTAACAGCCCTGTCACACATCTGTGATGGAAAGAATGCACATAGATCTGCAAAGACAGTTTAAAGTTCTCATTTATGTGTGTTTATAGAACAAGGTGGTTGGATCACTTAGAATAGGTGTGTGTGTGTGTGTGTGTGTGTGTGTGTGTGTGTGTGTGTGTACATGTTTTATCATACCATGTTGAATAATTAGACCTTTATTGGATAGATTGAGTGTGGCATTTGATTACAATGTTTATAGTAAGTCACATATGCCGAGTGTACAGTAAAATATTAGTTTAGATGTGGAATCCACACTTTGGGATTGGTGTAACAACAGTTGTGATGCATATTCCCTGTCAGGGGTTGCTAAAGAAGCAGAACTGAGTCATCTTTTGATTCTGTGGGGTACTCTTACGGATCCCCACTTTCTTATTGTAACTAAAATATAATTCTGCTTTCTTGAAATTTTGGAGGTATGGATTCTATTATCCTAAGTAAAAGATGTGACTTTTACAATATTTGGTCATCTTGAAACTTTAAATTGTATATAAATTAGATATAAATGACATCACAAGTAATGCTATCATTGAAATGATAGCAGGAAATGACATGTTATTTGTTAACATCCCAAGTGATAAATTTTATAGCACATTTGTATTCAGAGCTATCCTTAAAATTGTTGTTGTGTGTTCCCTAGTTTTCTATTAAACCACATCTTACCTTTTTAGTGATGAAAGTATCAGGAGAGCATGCGAAGTCATGCATAATAAAGGCAGTCCATCTTGATGTTCAATCAAAGCCACTTTTGTTTACTTTTATGAAAATCTCTGCAAGATTCATGGTCCTCTTTATCCTTTTTTCAGAGAGCTCCTGAAGTAACCTAAGTCATCATTCAGGCTTTGAGTAGATCTTGAAGTTATTCCACCCCTTTTATGGTACCCAGTCTGACTGGGGTGGGTGGTTACCACTCACGAAGCGAACATAAAGTCATACCTTACATTTACTACTAGGAATAGTTAGCACCAAGCCCTCTCATGGCTCCTGTAGTTCCCACACTAACAAGCAGAACCCCCAATCTCCATGTAAACACCACATTATCTGAATCTGACAGAATTTGCTTCTTGACTGATAACAAACCAGACTTCAGGGTGGTTTTGTTTCTATGTAAACTGGACACAAATACAGCAATGAGTTCTTTATAATGCCTTCCTACCCTTCCTCCCTGGATGTGAATTTGAAGACTAATGTTTATGAAGTTAAGACTCAGAGTCATTGGCCAGAAATACTGTGGTAGTGCAAACTGACTGTGAGGAGGAAGATGCCTGGGCGGAGCCTGTCTATTGAAGCAGGAGACTCCAGTTTGCAGAAGGTCTTGGAGATGCTGTTCCTTTCCTACTATGTGCAAAAACTACTTGGAATCCTAATTATTTTGTGTGTCAGGGGCAGTACTGTTTCAGCTTCTCCTTCCAGCAAAGTTGAGGAGTAGGGCTGGGAAGTACTCACTTTTAGGAGGTGAAGAAAACTTCCCTCCTGCTGCTCCCCCACCTAAGAGAAGGTGGTGTCTGCTGTCAGTAATTCAGCCTATGTGCATTTGGGGCACATGTAACAACACACACAGAGTAAACCCTTTGTTGGCTATGTATTGGTGTTTAATATAGCATATGGTTGTCTTCCATGTTTTTATTTCTTTTTTTTTAACTGTGTTAAAGTACTTGAAATGTATTGACTGCTGACTATCTTTCAAAAACAAAACCATTTGAGTTATATTACAGATGTTGGCATTGATCTGGAATGGGACAAAGTCTTCAATCTTTTTCATACCACTTCATGATTTTGGTGCAAGAACCTGCGATTTTCTTCCTTATGTTCTGTGATACTTCCCATCTGCTCTCACAGAACGAGCATGAAGCCCTGTTGGTACGAAGTGATTAGAAACAGAAGACAGTGCTCTTCCCTGTGGAATAGCCTTGGGAGTGTGCAGGTCACTCCATTGAGCTTCATGGCAGCCTAAAATGAAAACCCTTTTGTGACACATGTGAATCTGGCGATTTGCGTTTTGACTAGAGATTTGGATATATCTTATTCCTGGTTCATTTCATTGTGTTCTCTGGATACACACAAGAATCCTGAATTCTGTTTCCTAGGCAAATACTGCAACTCAGGGCTAAAGTCACCCAGTGAATCCTTAGAGCCTGAAGTAACCTTGTCCCAGGCCTACAATGCGCAACGAACGCAGACTCGCCTCCTTGCAGCCATTTTCGTGGCTGTTACATATCCGTACACATTACTTTTCACAATCAGTACGCACTTTCAGATATTCTTATTTTTATTCTCTTAAGTCTTTATTAACTTTCGAGAAATGATGCATCTTTTTATTTTAAATGAAGTAGATCAACATGGTGGAACAAAATGATAAAGAACAGAAAACATTTCAATATATTACTAATAATTTTTTCCAATATGAAACCTAAAATTCCTATAACATAGTATTTTACAGTTTTATGACGCTTTCTATTGTGACTTTTATGGAATTAAGAGATGAAGAAGATGAGATATTTTAGCATTTATATTTTTCAAAATTAAATGTATACTTAAAATAAAGTAACTTTATGCATTTGTGAGTGTCGAGTGCTTCTGTTCAACCCCTTGACCGATTGCTTTATTTTGTTCCTTTGAGTGTTTGGAAATATGAATTAGTAAGAGCACCTGTCTTAAGACTGGCAGTCTCTCTAGGCAGAAGGATAAAAATAAATGTTCCTAAATATAGGAGATTAAAGTCATATATTTTATTGTTAATGAGATATTCTTGTTCAAGGTTTATACTAAATTCATAATGAATAGGGACTATTAGAGTAGTTTCATGGAGAAAAAAATGCTGTCATTCTTTTTTAGCTACTAAATTTAAAAAATCATTTTCTTGAATCTAGAATGATAAATATACTTAATTAATTCTTAAAGCAAACCAAAGAGCCACAGAGTGTAAGTATTCATTAAAAAATAATTACTCTAATGAACAAAATCCAAGAATGATTTTTTTTTCCCATCCAGAATTGATTCCCAGAAGATATATTACACACACTTCTCTCAGGCCAACTTGAGCTTTTATCTAACATTTAAATGTCTCTAGGAAATGTCAGCCTGGCCCTAAATTGTAGTTAGAAAGTGGTGATAATGGCAGGTGAAACAAATTGTGGGAAAGATGAGAAATTACTGTTGGAAGCAGAGAAAGATTACATTGTGTTTTGGGTTACCTTGCCCAGACACCCAGTGGGGGAGGGGTGAGAAGATGATGACTCGGGCACTGGGAGTCAGTGAGTAGCGAGCATGCTGCAGACTCGTTTATTAAGGACGTTAGATCTGCCTTTATACCCCCTCCCAAGGTCCCATTGGCTCAGGCAGCTGGCTGCTGCATTGTCCTTTCCCAATTGGTGTCTGCGGGTCATGTGTCTTTTTGTCAGCAGTCTCTGGGAATTGAGGCAGGCTTGTTGGCTTGGCTCAGGAAGTACCTGCCTCCCATGCGCATGCGCACACATGCCAGCTGGCCTGGGCACCGAGGAAGGGCAATTTCGGCTTAGGCTGGCCACAGATTCTCCCAACAACTTTGGAATATAAAAACAGTTAAGGTAAAGCCTTTGTCCAGAACCGTCTTTTAATCTGGAAGTTTCATGAAATGCTTTCCACATCCACATACGTGGCGCGGTGATATGCAAACAGACTTAATCACTGCGCTGTGAGAAGCAGCCAAGCCTGACTCAGCAGAGATCAAATATGGTAAAGCTTTATTAATTCTCTTAAAGAATTCATTAACTATTATCATGTGTACAATTACCAAGTCAAGAAATTAGGGAGTGGGGGGAGTATAATTGTCACCAACTAAGTAACATTCAGGAAATCTCCAAAAAAAAAAAAAAAATGTTATGTATACAGGGAGATTATAGCATTGTAATATTTGTGTCACAATACTCTATGGTTTGTTAAAAAAAAAAAAAAGATGTGAAGACAAGTTTTTAAAGGTAGAACTGTGGGAAGTTACAACAGTCCTCTGACACAGTGGTTAGGAACAAGGTAGCACAGACAGCATTTCAACTGATGTCTGTGTAAGGAATACCTTTTGAATTAGGTGTCTGCAGCCATGAGTCCAGATGGGGTTGCCACCGGGAAGCCACAGATGAGAACAATTGTCCGTGCTGTCCCAGTTTTATATTTGTGTTAGACTTTATGCACATACCTTATTCTTACTGACAGTTGTTACATTGAAAAGGTGACACCCTTTTATAATTCCACGTATTTTCAGTATGCAATCTGGCCTTCCCTACCTACTAGACAATAAGGATGTGGTGATATCTTGTTTGTACAAGTAAAGCATGTCTGAACATCAGAGGGTGGAGCTTGTCACTAGCTAACGTACAAACAGGAAGTGAGATGACTGGGTGGAGACAGGAAGTGTGACGATTGGGCGGAGTAAGGATCATAGGAAGAATGAAACAGGAACTTGCTCTTTCTTTTCGGCTGGGAAGCTGAATAGGTAAGGTGCCTATGGTTTCGCTCCTTTGGGACGTAGAAGGGGAAGAT